AAACCCAGTAGACTTCCTCTTAGTACTTTTCCATCCACTGACCCCCACCCTGCTCCTTGGTGATAAATTCCCACATTTCATGTTGTGTTGGAAGTTGAGCCTGATCTCTCTCCCACCACAAAATCCCATTGTAGAGCCCCTCCCTTGAATAAAGTCTGCCTTAACATCTTTAACAAGTGTCATGAATAATATTTTCTTTAACAGGACTACATGAGAGCTCAGAGAGAAGGGTTGAGGCTTAATTTCCCAATACTTCCAAAAGTTTAGATGTTCCTAGTTGATGGGCCAAAATGGGACTACAAAGAGAGGAGAAAAATGTCCCACCTAATCGTTAGCATAAATCCTTCAAGTAGATTGTTCTTAACACAAGTCCGGTTGTCACTTGTCCTTATAACAAACACACTGTTGCAATTTGGCCCGTGACTCAGACTTTCTCATCAGGGCTCCCCCACTTCCCAGCTGAACCCTGCAACTGGCTTCTTCCTGGAGTCAATTTCCTCATACACAGACATTGCAGTGTCATCCTACCCACCCTGAAGTACTCTTGAGGTAACGAAATGAAAATGTTGCGCAGTTTTTAAGTACTCTATAAACTTAGATGTTAATATGACCCCCAGGGACACATTTCTGTGGCTTTGCCAACCTAAAATACTAATCCTATCAGACTTTTAGGATACATTCCTGAGGCTGCAGATTTTGACATTTTACTTCTTCTTAGAAAACATGAAAGTCACTGTTGTAAAGGAAAATGGTCGGGAGTTTTCTCTTGTTTGTATGTAAACATTCAGATGAGATGGTGAAGGGTCGGGAGAGGAGGAGGATGGACAGAGAGAGTCTGCCCATGTTTCTATGGGATGTTGTCAGGGTGGCAGTGGAGATTTGCACCCAGACTCAATCCATCTGAGCCCAGACTCGCTTTGTCTGCAATGGTTCATGAGGCCAGCTGTGTGTGAGATGGGGTAGGGAGAGGGAGAAGGAATAGGTGGAAAATGAAATTGGAAGGTCTGAGTATAGAGTGCAAGGCAGGTCCTTACTGTATCATATTTGTAAGTCCCTGTAAACCCTGCTTGGAACAAGATGAAGTGTAAATCAACAGCTAAAGTTAATACTTGTTATGTTGGGACTTGTGGCACATTACTAGAGCACATCCTCCAAATAAAATCCAACAAAAACAAACAAAAAAAGAGATAGAGACAGTGAGAGAGAGAGAGAGAGAGAGAGAGGATCTGAAATTGATCCAACAATACTAGGATGATAAGCTTCAAAATAATTAGTAGATCCAATAAAAGCAACTCCATCCCAATTGATATATATTGTGACACCATGTGAAGAGGGCTATACATCAGATATTAACCCTTAAATGTTAACATAAGCCCCTAAAGTAGACAGACACTGTCTACTTTAAGAACTAGAATAGGGGCTGGCTCCTTGGCTGAGTGGTTAAGTTCACATGCTCTGCTTCAGTGGCCCAGGGTTTTCCTGGTTCAGATCCTGGACGCAGACATGGCACCGCTCCTCAAGCTGTGCTGAGGCAGTGTCATACATAGCACAACCAGAAGGAACTACAACTAGAATACACAACTATGTACTGGGGGGCTTTGGTGAGAAAGAAAAAAAAAAGAAAGAAGATTGGCAACAGATGTTAGCTCAGGTGCCAGTCTTTAAAAAAAAAGAAAAAAAGAGCTAGAACAGAGGAAATAACACAGAGGAGTAAAGTGAAAGCTGTGAAGGGCTGTGCAGGTAAGGCCGTGCTACCTGAGGGGCTGAGAGGATGCCACAGAGCAAGGGGTCATTGATGCAGAGATGCAGCCTTGGACCCACCCAAGCACCTGGAGTCCAACAACGCAAAAGAAAACAGGGATCATAGAAGACAAATCTTAGAGAACCAACCTGCAAGAAATGGAAAGGCAGAAACAACAGTAAAAACAGTCTCACATGATAACATCTGTTATTTAAGGGAAACGTTAAGAAAATGCCCTGATGTGCACTACATTCTCAGGAAGTACCCACACATTTCAGAGGAAATAAGAATGACAATTACTGCTACTTATTGAGCTCTCTATGCCCTAGGCATTGGGCTAAGTATTTACATATATTTTTTCTTCACAGCTACTCCTTGAGGAGAGTCTGTTGTCTTTACTTTACTGAAGGGGACACAGGCTTGCAGAAGTTGGGCAACATGCCTGGGTCACACACTAATAAGGTAGAGCCAGATTTAAATTCGCCTTTGGTCTATGCCATGATGTTAATTGGTGCCACAGGGCAGTGATGACAAGTGAGGAGACCCAAGTACTTGTCCTGGTTAACTCTGTGACCTTGGGCCCCAGATCCCCTATCTATAAAGTGACAAGGCCAGGCTGCATACATTTCACAGGCTCTTCTAGTTCTAAGTTGTTGAGGTTTTAATCAACAGGCACGTGTATAATAATAGTGAATCATACTCATGGGAAAATTTTAAACAAAAGGAGTTGCCATGGTACCAGATAAATTAATATGAAATTTAAAAGAGCACTGAGATACACATTAAGGTCATCATAAAAGGTAAGAGAGATGCTAAACAATGAAAGCCTAGTAATGATACTGGTACGTATATCCCAAACATGTACCAGGAAAGTGTATAATGGAAAACCTAGTAGAAATGCAGGAAATATATGTAGATCTATCTATGTATGTATCTATTCTATCAATCACTTATCTACCTCTCTCTCAAAAGGGTACCAATAAGAAGTTATGGGAAAGAAATGGGAATGCTAACAAAATGAAGTGAGGAAAGAGAGGACTCAATGGAAAATGGAGTTGGAAGGTCTGAGTACAGAATAATGGGGGAAGAATTTATTGGTATACTGTGTGAACCTAAAGTTAAGACATGATAATACACTGAAGCAAATAAATGGAAAAAAATTCATCTTGCTCTTGAACATAAAAGGTATTTAGCAATACAAAAAGGCACAAAGTCCATATCATATTATCCCAAGTACATGCAATAATCTTGAAAGAAAATAACACGAACAGAGTTAGAAAAGTGCTCAGCTACTTGAAAATTTTGAAATACTCCCTTAAATAATTTCTGAGTTAGGGATGAATTCCTACATACAATAACAGAAAACACTTTTTAAAAATGAAAAGCTCACTATTGTAAGTAAAGAATTATTATAAATATATTTTGACAGTATTCAAATTCTATGTAATGAATAGACAGCTTATAGGCAAGGAAAAACACATGAAATCACATGAATGAGTACACATCTTTCTTGACTTAATGAAATGCAAATTAACATTTGTTAGGGTTTCATTACATGCTTATTAAACTGAAAAAAAGTAATAATAATAAAACCCAATGTTGGAAGGATTTTTGTTGGCACCAGCCTCAGCACTGGAGGGATAGAAAAAAAACAATACTGAATCCCAGCCCTCATGGAACCCAGTAATACCGAAATGGCTGAGGCAGTGGTGGCACACTAACGTGGTGGGGTGTGTGTAAGCCTCCCTGAAAGTGCTTGCTAAGGTGTTCAAAGCAATCCCTGAGAGTCAGTCACTATACATGGTTAGTTAGTACGAGGACTAACAGAAATGTGTAACTAGAATAGCACTGGGAGCTTTTTCCCCCTCACTGTGGTATTCCCAATACCTGGCACCCAGTGCCTGCTATCACAGCAGGTCCTCAAAAAACATTTGTTGAATGAATGAAATGTGCATAGAAAATTACAGCAAAAAATTAAAACACAAGCCCTATATTATGTACTTTCTTGTTATACCTTTATACAAAGATGTCTATGTTCATTTTAAAAGCTCAAAAGGAAGTTTGCAATGATCTAAGTATAGCGAGTTTCCCTTCTCTGTCAAGGTACTTAGATGTGCAATGTATTCCATTCTATTTTGGAGCGTTATGGGTCTAGATTTATGCATCTAGATCAGTTGTTCTTGGCCCCGGCTGCACATTGGAATCACCCGGAGCTTTATGCACTCGCCCTGCTGGGGCGCGCTCCTAGACAAGCCCGTTAACTTGTCTGAGGGTGATGCCCAGACATCGCTGATTCCAATATTCAGCTAGGATACAAGGGCCACCTAGACAGCAAAATTCTTTCATACACTTTATATTTTATTATATAAACTATGTTCAGTCATTCTCCAGAATAGTCCTTTAAGCTGTCTTCATGGAATCCTGAGTTCAAAAATACCCAGCTAGTATTGTTAAGAAAAAGTACTTGACCAGGGTGGGCCATGCTGACAAATGCAATCAAGAGGCTGGGGTACCCCTGTTCCATCCCCACTCCTCCAAATTCTAGCATCCAGGACGGGCAGACTTAATAGCTTCTGACCTCTAGTAAGAGAGGGTTGGTGGAGGTTGACTTGTGAGGCCGTGTTCACCTTGAAGGGAGGACAAGCCAGGGAGGCGCTGCTAGAAGTTCTCATAGAGGCCAGAGTGAGACACCGACCAGGAGTGAGAGGGGCCTGGATGGGGGACACGCCCTGACAACTGACCTCTGTCCTCTTCTGTCCATGTGATCAAAAGGAGCCTGAAGGTGGAGGTCTGGGTCTGCTGTTCAGTTTGAAGACACAGAGGACTCTGGCAACCCAGACTCTAGGCTGTGCATCTCTTGTCAGTGGGGAACTCCACATGTGTGAGCTGTGCTTTGATCCTTGGTCCAGGGAAGATTCTCTGGGACTGGGGTAGACAATGGCACCCACCACCTGTGTTTGCTTAGCTCTGTGCTGTCTCCAGACCTTTTCCCAGCACCTGACTCTCTCCTCCTGGGCTTGCCTCTCCAGGACTGGGGTTAGGTCTGCTTGTCTTTCCCCTCCCCACCTCTCCTACCTGTCCAAAGTGTAGCAGAGTTCATGGGTCTGACTTGGAGCTTGGCAGGAGTTCCCTGTAAACTGAGGACAACAGGGGTCATGTGTTGCCTGGAAATTGAGGTAGGACTTGGGATTAAAAGGGGCCAGTGACGGATTAGTACTAAAGGATTTTATGGGTAACCACATCCTTTCCCCTCCTCCAGGCTGCCCATTCTCCAGGGAGGGTCATTTGGTTTTGTGGCACCCTCCCTGGCCATGCTTTCCCTTCCTGCCTGGAAATGCCCTGAGTGGACACTCAATGCCAGCCAGGTGAACGCCAGCTCTCCTGAATTCACCGAGGAATGGCAGAAGAGGATCCGAGAGGTAATGGGGCAGGAGAAGTGGATGGGAGGAATGGAGGGGTACTCAACAGGGGCTCCCGAGATGACTCATTTGTTCAACTTTCATTGTTCAGCTCATGGCTGGGCAAGATTCCCGGCTTTAAAATACTGCTGTTGTTTCCTGTCTTTTAATTATAGCCATTTTGACCTGAGTGAGGTGATATCTCATGGTAGTTTTGATTTGAATTTCCCTGATAGTTAATGATGTTGAACATGTTTTCATATACCTGTTGGCCATCCATATATCTTCTTTGGAGAAATCTCTGTTCAGATCTTTGCCCATTTTTTAATTGGGTTGTTGGTTTTTTGTTGTTGAGATGTATGAGTTCTTTGTATATTTTGGATATTAACCCCTTATCTGATATATGGTTTGCAAGTATCTTCTCCCAGTTGTTAGGTTGTCTTTTAATTTTGTTGATGGTTTCCTTTGCTGTGCAGAAGCTTTTTATTTTGATGTAGTTCCATTTGTTTATTTTTTCTTTTGTTTCTCTTGCCTGGTCAGACATGGTACTTGAAAATATGCTGCTAAGATCGATGTCAAAGAGTGTACTGCCTATATTTTCTTCTAGAAGTTTTATGGTTTCAGGTCTTAAATTCAAGTCTTTAATCCATTTTGAGTTGATTTTTGTGCACAGTGTAAGGTAAGATCTACCATCATTCTTTTGCATGTGGCTGCCCAGTTTTCCCAACACCATTTATTGAAGAGACTCCCTTCTCCATTGTATGCTTTTGGCTCCCTTGTCAAAAATTAGCTGTCCATATATCCAACTTATTTTAAATGTAAAGGGCAAAGGAGCATTATTCGAAACAGTAATTTGTATTTCTGCCGCCATCTTTCTTTTTGCCCCCTGGGAGCCCTTCTTAGCCCATTCCCTTGCTTCTGTTGGAGGAAGAGATTTTGAGTCATTCTCTTCTATACTTTAAATAGTGGACAGCAAAAGTAACACTGTTAAACCCTCTTGTGTTTCCTTCCCCTAGGTACTTTCAAATGATTTAATAAGTGTATTGTCACTGGATCCTCTCCATTGGTTAAGTTTCACCCTGAACACACTGGAGTTTCCAATCTGGCCCATAAGTACCAGCAGAATTCCAACAATTGAACTAAATTGATTTCTATTATTTCTATCTTTTAGGGAACATGACCAAATCCCTAGTCCTGGGAAAATAAGGCTTCTTTACCTTCTCATTCCTCCACCCATCATTTAGGACCTGCTACACTGACAACTCACTTTTGTGCCCCACAGTTTAGCTTCACATTATCCTAGCCTGGAAAGCCAGCCCTTTGTGCTTTTGTCTCACACATTTTGTTGGTTCAAGCACATTCTAATTTGCAATAATTTCACTGCTTTTCCGAAGTGATATGACACACGAAAAGATCACTTGATATGGTATTTCTTGGTCCACTCCTGTCCTGTTCAGGCTGTGAAAAGTGATCCTTAAGCTGTTAGATAGATAAATTGATATTCATGTTGGTCAATCTGGGTCACCAGCCTTCTTGTAGTAGTCTGGGCCAGGGCTTCACTTGCAGAAGAGGCAAAGCTCAGTTCAGAAACACTGTCAATACCAGTTTAAAAAATGTTCTAATCTCCCATGTTCTGTGAAATGTCCAGTATGGCCAGCCTACCAGCTCTATGGTGGGCCATGTATCCTCATATTCTCCCACCGAAGGCACATGCGCCCACTGCTATTGGCAATGTGGATCATCACGGACCACATAAGCAACTTCAAGTGGAGATGAGGATTATGTTGTTTGTGAGTCCATGTGCCTGTGGCTTGTGGCCCAAGGTGTCATCTCCTGGGCCTAGTGACTACATTCAAAATCATACTTCTCTCTTCTTTTTAAGACTGAGGGTCATCAACATGAACTTCCAGTAATGGAAATTTGAGTATAAAGTCCTATCCTACAAGAGGTGATATTTCAATTGAGCTTTCTGTGATCCGCTTGCCAGACCAAACTGCTAGACCATCGGCCACAGTCCAAGAATCTATATAATTACATAGGGATAATTCCAGGTATTTATGTGTGCAGTCAGTCACATCACACATAACTCGGACCACTGGCTGGATTTAGACGTGCCTTACTTCTTCCATCAAGGTCCTTCTGTGGAAATGCTATTGTTACTGAACCTGAAGTGAGTTCACTCACCCGTTGCACAGCAAGCCAATTTCTGACACCCGGTGTGGTGGAAGAAAGTAGGAATTTTATTTTTACACAGCGCTGAGCAAGGAGAGAGGGCAGCTAACGCTGAAATCCCAAACTCCCCGACAAGCTAAAAGGAAGGGTTTTTATTGGGGGCTTTAGGAACATATGGCCTTGCTGGTCAGCAGCTTTCCCACCAGCCTGTATCTCTTTGTGGGGAGGAGATGATCCAGGTGCTTGTCCTTGATGGTGTCAGTCTCCATGGAGGATAGTGGATTCTGGAGTCAGGAAGCCAGAGAGTAAGCAGGGAATGAGTGTTTTGGTTTTAACCCCATATATGCTGGGTTTAATGTGGGGAAACAGATATCAGGGTTGGTATCACTATACTCTTCCAGTCTCAGTCTTTCTCAGCTGGGTGAGCAGCGCCTTTAGCAAGATTCCAACCAGTGCTTTTTGAACGCAAAGACTCACACAGCGGCATCCAAGTCTGTGTTGCTAGAGTTAGATTATCTTGTGCGGTGGTGTCCACCCCAGGGGAGAGGGGACTGTCACTTGCTTATGGATCCTATGAACCCATCCTGGGTAAAACCTTTTCTTCTCCTGAATATAACTATTTCCCTTTAATTGCCCCTTCCTTGTTTGAATATTTTCCTGACATCAGTCAAAATGTGATTGGGATCTCTGACCTCAGAGTTATTTGGTGACACTCAGTAGTGGTCTAATTCTAAACAGTGCCCGGTAGAAGACTAGTTAGCAATGGTCTTTCAGAGGGAGAGTGGTTGGGTAGCTGCTCCAAGCCACATCCACACCAAAAGCCCCATGGCAGAGCTGAAGCATCTGGCTTCTATCGGGGTCAGTCCTCATTCAGCATGCACTCCACCACCAACACTTCCGATCCCTCAGGGAGCACTGACTTGTAAGGTCACAGTAGACAGTCTGGGCCAGAACTTGTGACTCTCAGCCAACACCTTCTGCTGTTCTTCCCTCTCCAAAACAGCCCTTTACCCGTGCCTGTGCTCTGATATGCAGTCCAAAAGGGCACCCAGATGTGGGTGAACTTCAATAATCTCATCAAGTCCTTGTGCTTCCTTTTTATCTCAGGGTGGACCCAGAGTTAACAGGGCTTTTTTAAAGAACTTTTCCATGTAATTCCAGAGCAAGATATAGTTAAGAATTTCACTTCTCAGGGTGGTGGGCCCTGGATTTTTTCCAGGTTGACTGGTTAATCTCCCAATATTGTGGGTTGCACTACCTTTTCCAAATTAGGCTTTTTTTTTTTTTCAGTGCAGCCTAGTTTTATTATTTCATCATAGAATGAATCACAGAACACATGTAGTTGGTGGAGGCGTTCTTTTGTTTTTGTTTTTTCTGTCCTTCAGGGATCCTATACTTGGCATTAGTAAATCCAGATTAAAACCAAGCAAAGAATGAGAAGCAGGGTTGCCTTACCCTGCCCTGCTAGATGCCAGGGGCAGGATTTCCCTTTCACTCAGCCTTCCTGAGAACTATAATTCCTTAGGCAAGAATCTCTTACCTTCATATTATCCAGGAAGACAGATCTGACAGGGAAAATCCTTCTTTTCTCCCACCTGAGCACTTCCTTCCGCTGCTCAAATCCTCCCTGTGTTCTGATGAGGTGTCTGCCTCCACCACTGCAAGGGCACAAACCTTCATCACATTCAGAAGCAGTTACCCTGTGTTTTGAGGATACTGGGCAAGAGTTACGGGAAAGAATTCCCCTGGGGCTTGAACAGTATTAGTCATGAAAGAGATGTTTAGGGATATGGGCCATGCTGCACCTGCATTGAGCACCGCATCCCAAGGGTCAGAGACACCATATTTTCTTTAATACATTTACGGTTTATTTTTGTGTTTGTGATACATGGAGTCTTCTAAGGTGAAAGTCAGCAAACTATGGCTCTTGGGCCACATCAGCCTGTGGTCTGTTTTTTTACTTCCCACAAACTAAGAATGGTTTTTACATTTTAAAAGGTTGTTTAAAAAAAGAATATGTGATAGCAACCACATGTGGCCCACAAAGCCTGAAATATTTTCTCTCTGGCCTTTCAGAGAAAAACTTTGCCAACCCATGCTCTAAGACACAGGGCCCAGGGAAGGGCTTCCTCCTGCCCAGGGCTCAGACGGTAGTCTCTACTACTTTTTCCACATCACCTCCAAGTGTCCAACACAGTGAGCCCAAACCTGGAGTCTTCTCTGTGGTATTGTAGCTCCCTCTGCTGGTCCAATGCTTTCTCCGGTGCTGTGACAGGAGAAAAAAGTTCTTATCAATTTCACCCTCGTTTTATTAATTGTTTGATTGATTGGTTAAATTCACTGAGCCAGTCTATTGGAATTTAAGGTACATTCACCATATTTCTCTGAGTTATATTTGTCTACACACCTCTCAAGTCTTGAAAACACTGATGGTGGCAGGCCAATTGTCCATCACAATCCCAGCCACAGATGAAAGTGATGTGAACACAGGACCAATAGGAATGTCCTCACTTAACAGATACAAGAAGTAAAGGAGGGGTAAAAGTGAACAATGACTCTATTTTAAGGAAATGGTGCTAGCAGAAAAAGTAGAAAACCATGAGAAGAGATGGCAAGTTCAGTTTTCAACAGATTAGACCAATTTAAACTTCAACTTCCAGTATCATGGTAGTTTTTATTTATGTACTTATATATGCTTATATGTAAGTGAAATAAATGACAGGCATGATACAAGTGATGAGAGGGAGAAATTAGAATTATTTTGTTATTGTAAGGTGCTCACACTACCTATGAAGTGGTATAGTGTTATTTGAAAGTGGACTTAGATTAGCTGTAAATGTATGTGGCAAACTCTAGGGAAACCACTGAAAAGTAAGAAAAAGAAGTATAACTGGAGAGAAAATGGGATCATACAAAATGCTCAAGTAAAACCACAAAAAGCAGAAAAGGAGTGGAAGGCAGAAATAGGAACAAAGGATAAGGGTAACGAATAGAAAAGAGTAACAAATATAGTTGATATGAACCCAACTATTTCAATAGTCACTTTGAACATCAATAGTCTGAATGCATCAATGAAAAGGCAGAGAATGTCAGAGTGGATCAAAAAACAAGACCCAACTATATGATGTCTACAAGAAAGCCACTTTAACTAGAAAGACACAGATGGATTAAAAGTAGGTGGATGGAGAAAGATATACCATGCTAACACAAATCTCAAGAAAGCGGGAGTCACTATGTTACCTGCAGAAAGAGCAGACTTGAAAGCAAGGAAACTTTTCAGGGATAAAATAGAACGTGTAACATCCAAACCAGTAAAGTAAAACAGGAGAAGTAAAGCAAACTCTATCAGTCCAAGAGATCAAGGGCTGGCAGACTATAGTCCAGGAGCCAAATCTGGCCAGTTGCCTGTTTTCGTAGAGCCCACATGCTAAAAGTGGTTTTATATTTTAAATGGTTGAAAAAAATCAAATTAAGAATAGTATTTTGTGACATGACAAAATTACATGAAATTCAAATTTCAGTGCCTGTAAATGAAGTTTTATTGGAACAAGCCAGGCTCATTTGCTTACTGCTCGCTTGGGAAAGTTTTGATAGAGCCCATATTGGCCACAAAGCTTAAAATATTCACTATCTGGTCCTTTACAGAAAAAAAAGTGGCCAACTCCTACAATAGAAAGTAGTTTCAATAGAAAGAAAACAGAAAAATAAAGCAGCAAGGTATTCGATACAGTGCTGAGTGATGCTCGTATTGAGTCATCATCATCATCATCACTGTAATCAATAAATAATTTTGAAGGCAACTCCCTGAAAAACTTCCCATTAAGTGAAAATGTCCAACAGCTCGTTGGAAATCCACAGCTGGAAGAGGAGCGAGATCAGAGCTCTTCTTTCCTCAGTTCCTTTGGGGTCCAGCTTTGCCCCTGCACTGCCTCTGAATGTACCACCTAGGGCTGACCAGATCTAGAAGTGGGCTGCAGCAGCTGGGCCTGTCATGGTGGCCTGGGCTCGACTGAGGTCCACGGTCCTGCTGCAAGCTGTGAGGGGCCTGAGCTGCACTCTTCCTCTTCAGTTGCAGGGTGCCATCATGGTCGCTTCCTGTGTCCAGATTCTAGTGGGCTTCTCAGGCCTCATTGGCTTCCTCATGCGCTTCATTGGCCCCTTGACCATTGCTCCGACCATCTCCCTGGTGGCCCTGCCTCTCTTCGATTCTGCGGGCAATAATGCTGGGACCCACTGGGGGATTGCTGCCATGTAAGTACTCTCTGGGGAGGGAGTGGCATCAAGTTCTCTTTGGTGGAAGAGTGCCTGGGAAGAATAGTAAGAGTGCTTGCTGTTGGCAAACTCTTGTGCTTTAGAAATACTTTCATGAGCATTATGATACCTTAAGAAGCAGGAAAACTGCTACTTCTAATTTATTACTCTTACTACTTATTACATTATTAGTACTCACAGATGGTGAGTTCATCGCAGGCAGTGTATAAGAACACTTGATGTACTGTTCATGAAAAGTTGATACTACTGGTCCCCTGCCTCCTAGATTTTCATTGAGCAAATGTTTGTAAACTTCTTTCTGGCCCATGGGAAGGCTGCAAAGACATGGCCCCAGCTCTCAAGCATCTTGTAGTGTGTGGGAGAGAGACAAGACTGGGATCCACATACCTATGACACCAGGAGACAGTGATGAGAGTCGTAGAATGACATGCAGGTTCAGGGGAGGGGGTGAGGACAGCCAGCTGGGAGGATCAGGAAGGCTCCCTGGAAAAAGAGGCCTTAAGCGTTTAAATGGAGCTTTGAACAGAGTTGGGGATGACACTGGACACTGTCATTCACTCTGCCTCTTGTGGTCTGACCACAAGGACCTGCAGAATGACCTGCAAGAGAAGGCCTTCTCTGCCTCTGGCCTCATTGGCTCCACCTGCTGGAACCATTGAGCTGCTGATCCCCAGGGACTAACAGCCTCCCTTCCCACTCCTCCCCCTCAGCCACCAGCAGCTTCTGGAAGGCAACAGCCCACCCTAGCAGAGATGGCAGGATGCTGCCCGTGCTGCAGAGTGGGGTCTAGATGGGGACCCTCCCAGCTTGGCCATGGCCCCAAATCCCAGAGGCCTGTGGTGGCCCAGCTTTCAGGACCCTCACTCAGGATGAGCCCCAGCTCACCAGCTTGGGTGTGGTTTGTTTCTGTTTCAGGACCATCTTCCTCATCGTGCTGTTTTCTCAGTACCTGAAAAACGTCGCAGTGCCCATACCCATTTATGGACGAGAGAAGAAGGGTCACACCTCGAAGTTCTACCTGTTTCAGGTCTTCCCTGTAAGAAGCACTCCGCACCCCCTTTCATACTGAGTTGACTCACCTGGAGAGTGAGGCACAGCCTTTCACACTCCCAGATGGCCCCCAAAGCAAGTGCTCCCCCATCTGCAGTGGCCTCTCCTCCTCAGCCTTCCTTCATCCACCAGAGAAGAGAAGGAGGCCGAGAGAAGGCCGGCAGCCTATGGGGGCACTTCCTGACCCTTGGTGGAATGCCATCCCATGTCCTACCTCTATCCTTCTTTCCTGGGAGCAGAGAACCCTGCTCTAGTTCGCTGCTCTGGGCTCCAGTGTGGGACAGCCTTCTCACTTTCCCCGGGCCGTCCTCATAGCAAGGTGCCAGGGGACACAGCCAGCTTCACTGCTAATTACACAAAACTTAAGACCAAGTTGCATAGATCAGGTTCTTCTCTGTGGCTCATGGGTAGTCCAAATACCCCCAGATAAGGATGGTACCTCCCTTTTCAGAGCTTTCCCTGTTGAAATCTCTTTGAACCACGCTGTCAAGTAAGTGTAGCTGTCACCTACACAAATATGTTTGCAGGTTTCATTTAACTAGAAACTACATTTGCATTGTAAAAAGATACTTCCACACAATCATCTCAATGCTCCTTCAACAACACTCTAGGCCAGTGGTTCTAAAATTCAATGTTCGTAAGAATCACTTGGGGACATAATTAAAAATACAGATTTCTGGGGTTCTGCCACCAGAGATTAAATATCAATATATCTGAGGATTCTACTTGAAGAAATCCTGCTTCAGGCTCTGCAGAGCAGTGTTGTCATTTCATTGTACAGATGAGGAAACTGAGGCTCAGAGTTTGATCCAAGGTCATGTGACCAACAATCAGTGGAAAGGGAGCCGGAGGGTAATCCTTCTGACCCAGGCTGTGCCCACTTTACCAGACGTTTCTGCCTCTGTGTGACACGAGGTCTCCCCATAGTTTATTTGCTACATTCCCTTAATGTGCTAATTATCCACTGACACACCAGATTGCTGTTGTCACTGGAAGGGTGAGTAACCCAACACGTCCTCATTTCAAAGAGCTTTCCTGAACTCCCTCCTTTACCCCGCTCCCTGGGAGGTGGTTGCCTGGGCCAGGGTGAGACCCGTGGTGAAGGGTGGCTCCTTCTGGCAGGTGCTGCTGTCGCTCTGCATCTCATGGCTCCTCTGCTTCGTGCTCACAGTCACCAATGCCCTCCCCAAGGACCCCACAGCCTATGGGTACCAGGCCCGCACCAACACTGAAGCCAATGTCCTCAGCCAAGCGCCTTGGTTTCGCTTTCCTTACCCAGGTAATGACAAGATGAGCCCCTTCCTGCCTGGGACACATGATTCCCAGGACTGCCCATGGAGCCCAGGGCATGGGATGGAGAGCTGAATAGGGCCTGGGCTGGGGGGAATCTCCTCCAAGGGATCTTTCAAGGAGCGACAGGCCCTAGGGAGTCCATATCAGAACCCTAAGAGAAGAAGAAGACCCTTAGATTATCCTAAGAATCCTTTGGGGGGTGCTAGGCCAAAGGCTCCCACTCCCAGACCTACCTCTGAGCTGGCGGAACCACTCAAGAGGCCTTGGACTGAATTAGGACATTTTTCAGGAGACAAGGTCAATGCCACTACTGGTCTCCTTTCCCTGAAGTTCTTGGCTCAAGGTGTATAAATAACCAGGTTCCAGGGATGGCTTGGCTGCCCTCATGGACTGTGGTGCTAGGGCCTCCCTGATGAAGAATCTCTGCTTCTAAACACTCCAAGGCCTCCTGGGAAGAGACCCTGTTGCTGGCTCTTTCTGGGCACAGTGACCTCAAGGACAGGGCATCTGACCCTCCCTCAGGGATGAATGGTAGGGCAGGATCTGAGCCAAAGCCTCTGGAGAGCTGTGGGGTTGGAGGACATGCCTGGGCTTTAAAGCCTTTCAGAGACCTCTCTGTCAAAGAAATTATTTGGGGTTCAGCAGCCTGTTGTCTTGTGGATTAATATTCCCTCTGCATTGCCTTTCAGGACAGTGGGGCCTGCCCACCATCAGCCCGGCTGGGGTCTTTGGGATCATGGCAGGGGTGATCTCCTCGATGGTGGAGTCAGTAGGCGATTATTATGCCTGTGCCCGGCTGGTGGGGGCCCCACCCCCTCCGAAACACGCCATCAACCGTGGCATCGGCATTGAGGGCCTTGGCTGCCTGCTGGCAGGGGCGTGGGGGTCAGGGAACGGCACCACCTCATACAGCGAGAATGTCGGGGCTCTGGGGATCACCAAGGTAAGGCTGCTGACGGTGGCTCCTGGGGCAGGCTGGGCACCTGAATCGGTCATCAGTGTATTAGTCTCTCAGTACTGCTGTAACAAATTATCACAAATTTAGTGGTTTCAAAAACCCAAAGTTATTATTTTACTGATCTGGAGTTCAGAAGTGCAACATGGGTCTCACAGGGCTGTGTTCCTCTCTGGAAGCTCCAGGGGACAATCCATTTCCTTGCTTTTTCCATAATCTAGAAGCTTCCCACATTCCTTGGCTCAGGGCCCCCCTTCCTCCATCTTCAAAACCAATGGTTCTGCAACTCTCTGACTCTTCTTCCATGGTCACATCTCCCTCTGATCACAGCCAGGAAAGATTCGCTGTTTATAAGGATTCATGTAATTAGCCTGGGCCCACCTAGATAATTCAGGATACTCTCTCCATCTCAAAATACTTAGTTTCATCATAACTGCAAAGTCCTTTTGCCAAGCAAGGTAACATATTCACAGGTTAGAGATTAGGACATGGAATCTCTGAGGGGTCATTTCTCTGCCTACCATACTTGACCTTCCTTGGTCGTGGTGATTCCATAGGCAGAAAGTCTATCCTGGCACTGGCAGACATCAGTGGCTTTATGAGCACTGAAGAAATCCTTACTTTCTGTAGTTTAGGTGGGAGGTCCATTACCTCCAGCCTGACCCTGTGTCGCAGCTCCAAACCTGAATATTCAAAGGCCACCTGGTCATCTCTACCTGAACATCCCAAGGGCACCTCACACTCAATATGGCCTCTGTGATGCCCAGTACATGCCCCGATCCTTACTTCTCCTCCTGGAAACCTTGTCTTATGGAGTCCACCCAAGTCAGCTTAACTTCTTGCTGTTCGGCGTCCTCACTGTAGATTCCAGTTTCTCAACATGCCCGCTGTCCTTCCTGTTCTCTGTTCTCCATTCCCAGGGCCACAGCTTTATCATCTCGCATCTGGACACTGCAGTCTCACTAACAGTCTCCTTCTAAGGATCTTGCCCATCTCTAATCTAATTACCATATGGCTGCCCAAGGATCTTTCTAGAACTCAATTAGATTAGTCCCTGCTTAAAATCTCTTCATGGCTCCCAACTTTCCACAGGAGAACTCTGTGAGGTCAGCAAGAATTCTTCAGGATGGTGCTCTCTAAGGTGATTTAGAAAAGAATAACATTATGATGTTGCTTTCCACATGCTTCAGGCGTCTTTGCAATGGTCTCCAGCAGAAGTCCTATGAGCTCTGGAACATACAGTATCTCCCAGTCACATCCCCCAGCCTGCATTTTCTGATAGCGCCCTCAGTGGTTCTGATATGCAGGCAGGTGGCATCGCATCTTTCTAGCAGCAGATCTGTCCACCTTTGTACCCTGCATGGCCTCTGGGACCCAGCAGGGGCTAAAATCCAGGAGGAAACAGCTGAGGCAGCACCCGCCCCTCCAGAAAGTCCTGTGTGCTGTGACACTGTGGACTCTTTGGTACTTTGGTTTCAAAACCTTTAGTGCAAGTGAGGGGAATGTTTTTCCACACGAGGGCCACTGAACTACACAGAAATATAGCCACGGCGGGCTATGTGAGTATAAAGCAGCGCATAGTCTTCCTGTTAAAGAGAACAAATCTGACACAGAACAGAAAATTATATTCAATAAACAGAATAAACATTTCTTTGATGTATCATTTCTAAATTAAGGCCTTTAGAGGAGACAGAAAAAGCAGGAGAGAAACATACATATACACAGAGCAAGCTGTGAATCCAGCAGTAGACAGATTAACCCTGTTCTGGACTCACACCTCCTGCTTGTGGCCTTTTAAGATGTTGCTTCGTGGTACACCTGCAATGAAGAGCTCTGACCAATTCTTCGTCCTCTCCCTGTGTGTGTGTGTTTGGGCAGGGGTCGGGGTGGAATCTGACTGAAGGCCAGAAATCTCCCATTACTTCTGTAGGGACCCCCATGCTCCCACCTCAGATGTCAATCCTGAGGCCAAAAGAGGCCCAGGCTGCATGATAAATTCAGTGGCAGCAGGATTGGGGATGACTGCCATCTTGATGAGACCATCAGCATATCCAAAGGGTGCTGGTTGAACCTGACAAACTGATGTATTGTGCCTGGATCCATGCCCTTGTTCCCACAGTGCATTGTTAGGGCTGTAAACAGAACAAAGCAAAAAGTTCTTCTGATGTGGTGAATTCTTACCACATCTCTTTTAATGAAGACATTAAATAAATAAGCTCTTAGACTAGAAAGAAAAATAAGCAGAGGCATAATCTGCTACTCTATCAGTGCCTTCATGGACTTCAAGCAGTTGACATTAGTGTATCTTTTAAAAAAATATTTTTAATTGTGGTTAAAGATGCATAACATAAAATCTACCATCGTAACCATTTTAAGTGTGCGGTTCAGTAGTGTTAAGTATGTTTACTTACTATACTATACTATATAATATGCTATAATAATATATAATAATATGCTCTACTCTACACTTGTGCAACAGATCTGCAGAACTTTTCATCTTACAAAACTGAAACTACATTAGAGTAACTTTGAAGGACTGAGAGTAGACAAAATGGAAGAGAAAGGTTCAGGAACTATCTACATATATTCACTGACTGCAGACTCAGGATGGGATATTCAGACAGTTGCAGTGCAGCTCTGACTTTCGATGATGCTGAATGCCTCAAGGTCAGAGGTCATTTTTATCTCACTGGTAGTAGCTGTCACTCAAACCACAGGTATAAACCTTGACTAGCACCACAATCAGTAATGTCCAGCAGTGTGACAACTGTGTGCACCTGGCACTGGGGTGTGCTCCCTGATGGGATGGGATGTGGACCATGGCCCATGATCCTCACAGCAGTGTGTTTGTTTCATTTTTTTAACCTTTGTAGAAACTTATTTTAAGATCTGCTATAAGGGGGTGAACCATACTTCCTTAGCATTGCCAAATTCCTAGCTACTCGAAAAACTCCATGCAAACCAGGTAATAGCAATCAGTAGTGACATTAGTGCAATTGATCCTCTGGAGAAACGAACTAGGAAAAAACTCACCTGTAAGATTCTTGATAGGACCGGTTATTGCTGTATAATACCATGGGAGGGGGCCTCGTCTTAGTTTTGTATCCTAAGTGAACCCCCATAGAGATTAAGGAGAAATCATAGTTTATACATATTCCATAATATTTGCTTGCTGAGAAAATCTAGTTTGTCCTAACTGAGGAATGTATCAATTAGCAATAATGAAGTGACTTTTATAGAGGGAACTCTCTGAAATGTAAATCACTTCCTGTCACCACCCTGCTTAACACACCTACTGAGAGTTTCCTTTGTCTTTGGATTTTTCATTTTTAATTGCGGTAAAGTACACATAACACAAGTTACCATCGTAACCACTCCTAAATGTACAGTTCGGTAGAGTTACATGTGTTCAAATTGTCGTGCAGCCAATCTCCAGAGCTCTTTTCATCTGAACTCTGAACCAGTTGAACAACTCCGTATTCCCCTCCCCCAGCCCCTCAACCACCATTCTAGTTTGTTTCTATGAATTTGACTGCTGTAGGTACCTCATATAAGTGGAATCATACAGTGTCTGTCTTTTTGCGTCTGGCTTATTTCACTTAACATAACTCCTCAATGTTCATCCACCTTGTGGCATGTGTCAGAATTTCCTTCCTTTTTAAGGCTTGCTAATATTCCATTGTAGATATGTTCCATGTTTGCTTCTGCCCTGTCTTTGGATTTTATTCTAACTCCTCTCTCTGGCCCTTAAAGCCCTTCACAACAGAGGCTTTGCCTTGCTCTCCATCCCGTCTCCTCTCTCTCCTTGTGTCACTGTGCTCTAGGTGCGCTGATTTTCCTTTTATTGCCCCTCCCAGCTGTATTGAGATATACTTGACATACAACATTGTGTAAGTTTAAGGTGTACAATGTGTTTATTTGCTACACTCACATACTGCCATATGATGACCACCTTTAGCTAACGCCTCCATCACATTACCTAATTACCACTTCTTTTTTGTGGTGAGAACATGTAAGATCTACTCTCAGGAACTTTCAAGTATATAATACACTATTGTTAACTAGAATCACAATGCCATACCTTAGGTCCCCAGAACTTATTCATCTTCTAACTAGAAATTGTACTCTTTGGAAAACATTTCCTCCTATCCCCCACCCCACATCTCCTGGTAACCACCATTCTACTCTCTATTTCTACAAGTTTAGCTTTTTTAGATTGCACACATAAATGATATCATACAGTACTTATCTTTCTCTGTCTGACTTCTTTCACTTAGCATAATGCCCTCAAGGTCCATCCATGTTGTCACAAATGGCAGGAGTTTCTTCGTATATTATGGCTGAATAATATTCCACTGTATATATATATATATATATATATATATATATATATATATATACACACACATTTTCTTTATCCATTCATCCATCGATGGACACTTAGGTTGTCTATATCTTGGCTATTGTCGAGAATGCTACCATGAACATGGGGGTGCATATACCTTTTCCAGTTAGTGTTTTCATTTTCTTCAGATAAATACCCAGAAGGGATATTGCTGGATCATATAGTAGTTCTATTTTAAATTTTTAAGGAACCTCCATACTGGTTTCCACAGTGGCTGCATGAATTTACATTCCCATCAACAGTGTACAAGTATTCCCTTTTCTCCATATCCTCATTAATGTTTGTTATCTCTTGTCTTTTTGATGATAACCATTCTAACATGTGTGAGATAATATCTCATTGTGGTTTTGATTTGCATTTCCCTGATGATTAGTGATGTTGAGCATCTTTTCATGTACCTGTTGGCTATTTGTATATCTTCTTGGTAAAAATGTCCATTTTTTAATCATTTATCATTTTGCTTGTTGTTATTATTGAGTTGTATGAGGTCTTTATACATTTGGATATTAAACCCTTATGTGATATATGGTTTGCAAATATTTTTTCCCATTCCATAGATTGCCTTTTCATTTTGTTGATTGTTTCTTTTGCTGTGCAGGAGCTTTTTAGTTTGATCTAGTCCCACTTCTTGATTTTTGCTTTTGTTGCTTGTGCTTTTGGTATCATATCCACAGAATTACTGCCAAAACCAATGTCAAGGAGATTTTTCCCTACACTTTCTTCTAGGAGGTTTATGATTTCAGGCCTTACATTCAAGTCTTTAATCTATGTCAAGTTAAATTTTGTGAGTGGTGTAAGATAGGGGTCCAATTTCATGTTTCTGTGTGTGGTTATCCAGTTTTCCCAAAACCGTTTATGGAAGAGACTATCCTTTCCCCATTGAGTATTCTTGGCTCCCTTATCAAATATAAGTAGACTGTATAAGGCAGGGGTGATCTGTGGACTCTTGATTCTGTTCCATTGGTCTATGTGTCTATTTTTATGCCAGTACCCTACTGTTTTCCTTACTATAGCTTTGCAGATAGTTTGAAATGAGGAATTGTGATGCCTCTAGCTTTATCCTTCTTTCTCAGGATGGCTTTGGCTATTCAGCGTCTTTTGTGATTACATATGAATTTTAGGATTGTTTATTCTATTTTTGTGGAAAATGCCATTGGAATTGTAATAGGGATTGCATTTAATCTAAAGATGGCTTTGGGTAGTTTTGGCATTTTAATGATATTAATTCTTCACATACATGAACGTGGGCTATTTTTCCATTTACTTGTGTCTTCTTCAATTTCTTTCCTCAGAGTCTTATAGTTCTTAGGGTACAGATCTTTCATTTCCTTGATCAAATTTATCCCTAAGTGTTTTATTGTTTTTAATGCTATTGTGAGAAGACTTTTCTTTATTTATTTTTCAGAATTTTGTTATTGTACAGAAATGCAACTGAGTTTTGTATGTTGGTTTTTGTACCTGAAACTTTACTGGTTTGTTGATTAGTTCTAAAAGTTACTTGGTTGAGTCTTTTTTGCACATTTTCTACACATAGGATGATATCATCTGCAAATAAAGACAGTTTTACTTCTTCCTTTCTGATTTGGATGCCTTTTATTTCTTTATCTTACCTGATTGCTCTAGCTGGGACTTCCAGTTCTATGTTGCACTCCTGTGTTGAATAGGAGTAGTGAAAGTGGACACCCTTGTCTTGTTCCTGATCTTAGAGGAAAACCTTTCAACCTTTCACTGTTGAGTATGATGTTAACTGTGGGTTTGTCATATATGCTTTTTATTGTGTTGAGGCATATTCCTTCTATACCCAATTTGTTGAGAGTTTTATCATAAAAGAATGTTGAATTTTCTCCAAGGCTCTTTCTGCATCCATTGAGATGATTGATTGTATGATTTTTATCTTTCTATTAGTGTGGTATATCACATTGATTTGCAGATGTTAAACCATCGTTGTATTGCTGGAATAAATCCCACTTGATCATGGTGTATGATCCTTTTAATGTGCTGTTGAATTTGGTTCACTAATATCTTTTTGAGAATTTTTGCATCTATATTCATCGAGGAGGTTGGTCTGTAGTTTTCTTCTCTTGTAGTGTCCTTATCTGGCTTTGGTATCAGGGTAATGATGGCCTCATACAATGAGTTTCTGAAGTATTATTAATCTCATTTGGTAACTTTGGAGGCTGACATTTGGAGAGGTTAGGTAATGTACCCAAAGTCACACAGCTAGTTAGAGGCAGAGCTGTAATTGGCTTCCAAACCTCCATTCTTAAGCATTGGACCACTGCCTCCCAAGAGAGACTTTTTGCCCTGCTGTAAAGGCTTCTTACAGGAGGAGCATTTGAGTTGGGACTTGAAGACAAGTGTGAGAACAGCAGAGTGGAGAGGTGAGAGCACAGGCTTGGATCCAAGGTCATGCCCTCATCCTTTCCCAGACACCATGTGGGAGCAGAGGGGGGCCATTTTGGGGTTAGGTGACGCTGTTCCTGCAAGTCCACTGGAGCAATGTTCGAGGTGCCCCTGAAGCAGGGCAGAGGCCTCTGGGTCATGTGGCCTGGCTGGTGCTGAGCTCTTTGTCCCCCATTTCATTGAGCACTGCAGGTGGGGAGCAGGATGGTGATTGTCGCTGCAGGCTGCGTACTGCTCGTGATGGGAGTATTTGGGAAGATTGGGGCTGCATTTGCAACCATCCCAACACCTGTGATTGGAGGCATGTTCCTGGTGATGTTCGGGGTCATCGCTGCTGTGGGGATTTCCAGTCTGCAGGTGAGGCGAGGCACTTTTGGAAAAGCAACAGCCTTGCATCCCCTGAAAGGAGCCCATGGGGACTGAGATGAATGGAACAGGGCTGGGGCAGGGGAGAAGTAGGAGAAGGGGTTCCTTGGTTCCTGAAACTACGCTGGCCCCCAGATGGAAGAAATAAATAGCCAGAAGCATCCAAACTTCTGAAAAACAGAGATTGCATCAGCTTGAATTGGATTATCTAAACCACTCAACTCCCAAGGTCAAGTGGGAATTGGGCCCTGGCTTGCCTACCCAGAGAATGTGTCACTCTGAGTCCAGCCTCCCTCCCTACCTCTGGTGGTGTTGGGAGGGGAGGAGGCATTAGAGGGGTGTTAGATTGATGTGCAGTACAGGTGCTGATGATTGTGGGCTGCCACGGGGGCCTCTCTCCTGCAGTACGTGGACATGAACTCGTCCAGGAACATTTTTGTCTTTGGCTTCTCCATCTTCTGTGGGCTTACCGTTCCCAACTGGGTGAACAAGAACCCTGAGATGCTCCAAACAGGTGATTCTCCATCCTCTAGACTGTGACCACTCCAAGGGCAGAGCCAGTGGGGCCCTTTGTCCTTGGGAATCCCTGTCGCTTTTGTCTCCACTCTAGGGATTCTCCAACTGGACCAGGTCTTCCAGGTGCTGCTGACTACGAGCATGTTTGTAGGTGGATTTCTGGGCTTTCTACTGGACAACACCATCCCAGGTAAGGCTCACCTTTGCTCTATAAGCCAGCAGTTTGGGTAGATGGTCAGCATTTGGGCCACCCACATTGCTTCTCTGCCCCTGATTACCATGTCAGGCTGGCCACAGTGTACCTTGAGGAGGCCCCAGGGAGGAAGGGTGGTGCTGGTGTTTATTAGGTTTCTATGGTTGCCATAACAAAATACCACAGACTGGGGGGCTTACACAACTGAAATGTATTTTATCACAGTCTGGAGGCTGGAAGTCTTTGATCAAGGTATAGGAAAGGTTGATTTCTCCTGACACCTCTTTCCTTCCTTACAGATGGCCACCTTCTTGCTGTGTCCTCACATCCCTTTTCCTCTGTGTATGTGCATCCCTGGTGTCTCTCTCTGTGTTCTAATCTCCTCTTCTTAGAAAGACACCAGTCTGATTATATTAGGGCCCACTCTGAAGACCACATCTTTAACTTAATTACGTCTTTGAAGGTCCTATCTCCACACACAGTCACATTCTGAAGTATGGGGCATTAAGGCTTCAACATATGACTTTTGGGAGGATGTGATTCAGACCATAACAGGCCCTAAGCTGAGAAATACACCAGAAGCAAAAAGAAAAAGACAAAAGCTCACCCCTAGAGCCTGCAGTCTAGTTGGTGAGGGAGAGAACACATCCATCCATTCATTCATTCATTCATATTTTCATTAAAAACCCATTGAGCACTTGCTGTATTCCAGATGCTATTTACTGAGAATACAAAAAGCAGAAAGACATGCCCCTGCCTTCAGAAACCCACAGGCTAATAGGGGAGAGAGACAAGAAAACAGATGGTTATAGCCAGTCCTGATGGTCTAGTGGTTAAAGTTCAGCGCTCCCCACTTTGGTGGCCCGGGTTCACATCTTGGTTGCAGAACCACACTGCCTATCTGTCAGTTGCCATGCTGTGGCAATGGCTCATGTGAAGAACTAGAATGACTTACAACTAGGATATGCAACTATGCACTGGGGCTTTGGGAAGGAAAAGAGAAAAATAGGAAGATTTGCAAGAGATGTTAGCTCTGGGCGAATCTTTCCCTGCAAAAAAATAGAAGAAAGAAGAAGAAAACAGACAATTATAATACACGTTAATAACTGTGATGGTGAGCCAACTGAGTCTATAATTGCTGAGGACGTTGAAGGTGAAGAGTGCAGAGCTGCCATCACTGACGGCTTTCAGTCCTCCCTTCTTGATCCTCCTACGGCCTCTTGACAGGCCCTCTAGGATAGCCCCTGCCTCATGGTATTCTGTTTTCCACATTTCTTCTCTCTACCACGTGTAAAATGCATCTTCATTTCAGAAACATTAAATGTGGAAAGGCCCACTCCTGAAGATGAGGACAGGATGGTGTTTCATATGAGGTTGTGCCCCGGAGCTCTGGACCACGTCAGCCCCACAGGGGGATCTCAGGGGATACTTGATGAACTGAGCTGTGATTCTTGAGATGGGCTTGGAGGAGGAGGCCCTTTTGGCAGGTGGTGGGCACTGAGAGGAGACCTCATGAGTGCTTGCAGAGGGTGCCGGGGGCTCCCTCTAGCCCACCTCCGCCCAGCTCCAGCAGGGCCCAGTCTTGACTGCTCACTGTCTCCTATTAGGAAGTCCAGAGGAGAGAGGCCTCCTGACATGGAATCAAATCCATGAGGAGTCTGAGGAGACTGCGAAGGTGTCAGAGGTCTACGGCCTCCCCTGTGGGATTGGCACAAAGTTCTGCACTTCCTCCTATACCCGGTACCTCCCCTTCTGGCCCAGACCGGAACATCATGGGAAAGGTGAGGTGGGAGCATGCCAGCTTACCCTCTGCTCCCAGGATTCCTCAGGAAAGTGCCTCAAAGGTGCCACAGAAACCAGGATGTAAGGAGAACTCTCTGCATTGTGGGTGGGAATGTAAATTGGTAAAACCACAATGGAAAACAGTATGGAGTTTCCTCAGAAATTTAAAAACAGAACTACCACATGATCTAGCAATTCCACTTCTGGGTATTTATCTGAGGAAAATGAAAACACTAATTCAAAAAGATATGTACATCCCCATGTTCACTGCAGCATCATTTACAATAGCCAAGATAGGGAAAAAACCTAAGTGTCCACTGATGGATGAATGGATAAAGATAATGTGGTATATATATATACATACATATACACAATGGAATATTATTCAGCCATAAAAAAGAATGAAATATTGCAATTTGTGACAACATGGATGGACCTTGAGGGCATTATGCTAAGTGAAATAAGTCAGAGAGCTCTGCCCTTGTGTAGCCAGAGGTGTGGCCACAGTGTCCAAATTCCCTGCTGAGCCACTCAGGAGATCTCTGTGGAATTGGTTAGGGCCCTTTTGACTGGAAATGAGAAAAGTGTAAGTCATACAATAGGAGATGGGATTTATTGGTTCTTGTAACTGGAAAGGAAGGACACTGGGAGAGCTTACAAAACCATCGGATGAATCGTATGAACCAGAGCCTTAAGGATGAGAACTGATGTGTTCTTTCTCTATCTCTGTCTCTTTTTCTCTCTGTCTCTGTCTGTCTCTCTCTCTCTCCCTCTCTCTCATACACACACACACACACACACACACACACTCTGTCCATCTCCCATCACTGCTTCTCCTTTCCCATTAGTCTCATTCTCTCCCACTGCAGCTGAGGACGATGGTCACACACCACCCACATCTGCATCCTTCCCCTGTTATTGCCAAGGCAAAAGGAAGAGAGCCTTCCCCACTGGCTCTACCAGAAACATCCCAGGGAGGACTATGGTATCTCAGGGTATCCTATGCAAAGAAATTTCATAAGTGCCAAGTTTGAAGACTTGATCTTGATTGTCCCTATATTAGTTTCCTAGGGCAGCTGGAACAAATTACCAAACACTTAGTGCCTTAAAACAACACATATTTATTCTCTTATAGTTTTTGAGGTCAGAAGTCTGGAATGAGTCTTACAGGGCTAAAATCAAGGTGTCTGCAGGGCTGACTCCTCTGGAGGTTCCAGGGTAAAATGTATTTCCTTGCCTTTTCTAGCTTCTAGAGTTGGCCCATATTTCTTGCTTCATGGCCTCCTCCTCATCTTTAATGCTGTAGGGCCATAGTCTACATCACATATAGCAACCATGTGTCCTTCTGACCCTCTTCTGGGAAGGATGCCAACCATCTTGGGTTTGTAATGATCCAGGGCCTTGCTGACCCAGATCCTAACTTATTTCACTGAAAGAACACCACATCTTGAAGGACACAGAGCCCTTCCACGTGAGCTACTCTTCTTGTGAACACTGGTTGTACCAAGGACAGTCTCTCTTGGCAAACATGTACTCTTTATTCCTCTGCATATATAAACAACCCCATTGCTGCCTTCAGTAGCAGGTACACAACTCCATTCAGCCGTCCACCACTAGACACTCCCTGTAGGGAAATCCCATTAAACCGTTATGTCTCATACACCACCTCTGGGTCTTTTCTTTGGTCTCTCCGCAACCTATTTCACACTGCTGGCACAACTGGGCATGTGGCCAGACACTTGGTGAACCAGCCAGGAGACCGAGGAAAACTCTTTGATCGCTGAGATTATGGGCGACAGAAAGGGGAAATCCTGGCTTGGCTGGTGTCCTTAGTATAGGGGCTGTTTGCCACCATCCTGGATGGATGGGGCCCACTGTATGAGTACAAAAAATGCCAACGGACCTAGGGGAAGATGCTACAGCTGTGAGGGGGCCCTTCCCCACCATGGGTTGGCTCACAACTGAAGCCAAGATGGAAGCAAAAGTAAAACAGTTGCAGGAGAAAGTGCTTGCTCTTAGAGGAGCACGGTCTGACTGGCACTTGGGCACCAGACCTACTGCCCTCAGGATCCACTGGAGCTGCCTGGTGGCAGGGTGCTGAGATCAGTTGCCAGGTAACAGAGGGGTCGGCTGTGGGGGGCCGCCTCCCGCCCTCTGCTGGAGCGCCACCACCGCCAACCCGGGGGGAATCAGATAGGGCCAGGTGGAGGAGAGTGAGGGCTGCTGGGCCTGCTGTGTAGCTGCTTCCAGCTCCTTGGCTGCTCCTACTCCAAGCCTTGCTGGCTGCCCACCCTGAGGGCTCTGAGCAGCTGCTGCAACCAGTGAGGCTCCTGGGGTGGTTTCACGTCTCTGGGATACTGGAGTGGAAGGTATTTTGCTGTCAGGAGTGGAGATGAGCAAAGATCTAACAGTCTCCCTCTTGACTTGGTTAATGGCCGCCTGTAAGGGGCATGGCTTAATGAGGGGGACATACCAAGGCCTCTCCTCTGGTGGCAGCAGGCATCCCTCTGGAGGAAGTTGATAAGCAACCAAATGCTGTTCTGGTGGCTTTGTGGCAGAAGCTGGAGCCACAAAAGATTCACAAGGCCACCAACAGAGGGCCCCAAACCAATAGCACCCTGAGTGACAGCCTGGGAACACCCTAGCTCCCTTGACTGGGGGAAGGCCAAGGGACTCGACCCACTCCTGCAATGCCGTGCAGGTGGTTCGGATATCAGGGTACTGGAGGCCACATGTGGAGATAACAAATATTGGTCTACTAAAAATAAACAGATGGTCTTAGCATTGGTGGATACAGGAGCAAAATACTGATTTATGGAAATCCACCCCATTTTGATGGCCCTATTTCTATCATAGATGGTTATGGTGGGGGCAAAGTCAAGGTGAAATTGATGGTGCTGGTGCTTCAGATAGGGAGTCTCCTGCCAAAACTGTATACCATGTATGTTGCCCCCATACGCTATACTTCCTGGGTATGGATGTCCTTACTGGCCTGACCCATTATACTGATGATGTTGTGTTAACCTCTGAGTCTTTTTCAGACCTCCAGGAAGGCTCCTGCTCACTTGTTGCCCACCTATGCCAATGAGGATGGGCGGTGAATGACAATAAATTACAAGGGCCTGGGTTATCTGTCAAATAGTTGAGTGTTGTCTGATTGGGTAAGACCAAAGTGATTCCTGCTGATGTTATAGATAAGATACAGGCTTTCCCTACACCCAATACCCCAAAGCAACTACAGACCTTTCTAGGCTTATTAGGTTACTGATGCCCTTTCATTTCTCATTTAGCCCAACTACTCTGTGCTCTCTATCAGCTCGTGCGAAAGGGTATTATCTGGGACTGGGGGACCACCGAGCAGGAAGCCTTCACCCAAGCCAAAATAGCAGTAAAACAAACTCAGTCTTTGGGTGTTTTGAACAGGGACAACCGTGTGAATGGGATGTTTCCAGTTACCCAGAGGGGTTTGGATGCAGTCTCTGACAGAGCCAAGGCAATAAACGAGTTCCCCTTGGCTTCAGGTCCCAATTGTGGAAAGGGGCTAAAGACCAATACAGTGCCCTGGAACAATTATTTGCTGCTGACTTGGCCCTCCCGCAGGTGGAGCCCATGACCCATTCCCTGCTGGTCACAGTCTGTACTCATCTGCCCATTGCAGGGTGGCTCTGGGATGTTTTCAAAAAGCCCCCCTCAGGAATGTCTCAAACACAGACATTGGCAAAGTAGCATGCATACTTACAACAATCAGGGACCCTGACCAATAGTCCCCTAAGTGCAGAATTCCATGCCATCCCAGGACCAGTAACATATACCACAGAGAAAACAACCCCATTGGATGAGGTGTCCATGCCTGAAAACCTGCCAAATGTACGGGAAGGCAGAGGACCATCCTGGCAGAGGCCTAGTATATGGATGGCTCTGCAGTGGGCAACCCCCCTCAGTGGATGGCAGGGGCCATCCAGCCTTTAACCAACAGCATGTGGTTGGATTCTGGCTCTGGGTACAGTAGCCAGTGGGCTGAATTGTGGGCTGCCTGGATGGTATTGACTCAAGAACCCAATCCAGTGTATCTGTGTGTGGACAGTTGTACAGTCTACAAGGGGCTCACCCTATGGATGGCCCAATGGGCATGACAAACATGGACTATCAATGGTTGCCCATTGTGGAGGGAAGGGCTCTGAAATGATATCTGGCAGTGGGTCCTGGAAGAAGCACCAGCCAAGAGAGTGGCAGAATGGTTACACAAGGAGACTGACATAAAGGACAAAGGACTCTATGGGCTATTGCCAAGGCCTGGGGCCTCCCCTTACGCTAAGCTGATGTGGTACAGGCATGCCCTTCTTGTTCCTTGCACAGACCCTGGGCCATTCCCAAGAATGTGGACCAAATCACCAGAGGCAACCAACCTGCTCAATGCTGGCAGGTGGACTATGTTGGGCTCTTGCCTTCCTCTGATGGCTGCCAGTATGCCCTTACTTGTGTGGACATGTATACAGGACTGCTGCAGGCATACCCCAGCAAGAGGACCACCCAAAAGACCACCATAAGAGGCCTAGAACACCTCTGTGCCACATATGGTATCCCCACGGACATCAACAGTGACCAAGGTACACATTTTACTGGCCACCAGGTACAAACATGGGCTGACCAAATTAACATACATTGGCAGTTCCACCTGCCATACAATCCCACAGCCACCAGGCTGGAGGAATGAATGAACGGCTTGCTGAAACAACAACCAAGGACAGAAGACAGGACCCTAGTTCACTGGACAAGATGCTTAACAACTGCAATTTGTCAACTGAATGAACATGAAAGACATACGTGACCCAGTGCATATCAGATGTTGATGCAAGGACTTGATGTGACAGTACATCTCCAGACAAGAGCCCACCAAGTGGAAAAACTACATCCACAGTTAGGCACTCAAAAAAACTTGCTTTTGCCTCTGCCACAAGAACTCCCTACTGGTACCCATGTGGTAACTTGGCCCTGGGAC